CTGTTTCACATGGTTGACAGAGAAGTGATTTTGTGTTTACATCTAATTCATACAAAAATCTGTACCACTGGTTTATCTGGTAGTAAGCAAATCAAGTGTTGATTGGTCAACGCTGATAGATTTAATGATAGTTGGCAATGAATTGCATTGTTGAGAGCAGTAGAGAGAACAGTTGATAAATAAACAACTATCTAGTTCCAAACATAAACAGTTACTGCATCTGTAAACTAAAAACTGCCTATATGACTTTCCTAAAAGCCAGTAGTAAGCCAATAAGTACCAAACGGATGATTCAGTGAGGACACGCATATGAATATTCCTTAATGATTTTACTGCTTCTGCAGAGAGATCCCAAGTCTGCACTAGTAAAAGATTACACACTGAACACATGTATGCATTTTCCCTATTCTTTGTATACTTGGCTGCAAGTTTATCACTCATACACCACAACATTGAAGAGTTCAGCTACTTCAAACTGAAACCGGTGGACGTGGAAGTGCAGTCTAAGCATAGCCTTACGTCCTAAACACTCCTGCGTTGCCAGGCCCCTGGCAGCAGCTCTTGCTCTGTAGTGCGAGTAATAGCAAGCTCAAATCAAAGCCCAAGGCCTGGGCCCTTCCTCCTTTCAGGGCTGCTGTTCCTTCCACTGCAGGTTGCAAAAGTAAGGAAACTAAGGGCCCCTCTGTTCCATCAGCCTGAGCTCAACAACTTTGTGTAAACTAGCTACTGCCCACATTAAAATCCTGTGCAGCTGCTTTTATTTGCCGCATTGTATGCTTCTTTTTCAGGCTTTGCTTACTGCTTCCTCCAGCCTGTGCTTCATTGTGGTAGTTGCCCTCTATGTCTCCTTTGTAACAATTGTTTCTCATGTTTTTCTGCAGGTTTTTTTGTTTGTTTTTTGTTTGTTTGTTTTTTAAACTCATAACTGGAGAAATAGTTTTATCATTTGGCCTTCATGGTTAACTACTGCAATAGTGATTTGGACTGTCAGACTTTTATTTAAACTCTATTGCACTATATGGCATTTATCAAATACGGGTTTCAGGTCATTTCTTTGAACATATGTCTTAACTTGCCAGTCCTACCCAGATATTTATGTTTACACTCCTAGGTAGATGTGTACATGGATTTACCTTCCACATAGCATAAAACTCAGCCAGCCTTCTTCATGCTATATAAACTGTTGTGAGTCTGCTGCACAGAGCCCTGGAGAGCAGCTTTGGCACTTACTCCACGCTCATCATATCCTTCTCTGGAGGGGATTAGGAGGTGACAAAGCAAACTGTGGTGACAGCTGGGGGTGGCAAGAGGAAGTTGTGAGGATTAGGGATTGAAGGAAAGGAGTAAGTGGCAAGGGCGGTAACGAATGTGAAATTGAGCACTTTTCTTCCTTCACATCTTTTAAGGTGAAGAAACATTCTACAGTTTTGCTGAAGGAAATAGGCAAGAGGTCAAATAATAAGGAATCAAAGATGCATGATCACAGGTATATAGAGGTGTACATAAAGACTACAGGTGATCTCACTGGAGACTAAAATTAGCAACAACTGCATTCTGGTGAAGTAAAAGTCTAAATATTTGAGGGTTATAGTGTCTCAAGAATTTGGCTGCATACTTTCCCATGACTTGGCAGTAAAGTCCACTAGTTTCTGAACATGTAGTTCATAGCTGGATTGCCTTTGAAGAATAGGCACATGTCAACCGTAGACTGAGTGCCAAACTTTCATTGACTGCAAGGTTTTTTCTATAGCAGACAGAATATTTTTTGCGAGAGTTGTGTGATTCAAGTTCAGAGGCATCGTGTTAGTATAACATCACAGGAAATACAGAAGGCATTTCACTAGCTTCATTTTGAAGCTGGATTTTTAGATCCAGCAGTTGTGATATGTTCAGATGCTATTTTCTCAAGGTTAATAGTTATAGACACTTAGGGTTTGTAATTGTTTTAGAGAAATACACTAAATTTCGGGCTTTGTTTCTTCTCCAAATATCCATAGTATGGACATTTTGTTTGTCTTGAAGGAAGCATCTTTAGCAGATGGAAAAAAGAAAAAAAAAACAGGTCAGTCTGAATGGGGTCAGAGAATTCAGATTGCTTAGGGATATTTCTTTAGTGGCAAATTAAAAAAAAGTAGGATGACAAGTGTAAAATGTACTCATTTTTAGCTTAACACTTAGGAAGAAAGTCTTCCATGTTTGAAGGACAAATGCAATATTTTCTGAAACTGCAGGTTTCCAATTCACCTGATGCTTCTTATAAAACTTTTCATAGTATTTTCAGTGAAGATGGTGTTATTTTTGCCATTTTTACTGCTGAACTCTGTGGGAGGCTGTTAAACAACTAAGAATCATATTATCATCCCCATATAGTTATTCAGAAAGCAATGATGACAACTAAGTTAGGACAGAGAAATATGAGAAGAATCCAGCTCCCAAAAGGGAGGACACAGAATATAGATCACATCCCACCATGTCTATGTGGTACAAAAGGCAGCATAATGTCTTCCATAGTAACTGTAGTTGCACAGGAAATAAATCTAAGGCTACAAAAAATTACAAAATTTCAGACATTTTGTTTTAATTGGGTAAGAAACCCCAAAACTATTCTTTGGATCAATTAGTGCATTTTCCTTGGTAAAATTCAATAGATTTTCTAGTTAAAGAACAATAAAGGAAAAGTAAAATACAATTACTTCCCTGAACAAAGTAATTTTCAGAGGGAAAATAGGAACTTGTGATTTTGACATGACATGTTGACATTTCTATCTTAGAACTCAGAACATTCCATTTCTGAATCTTCTCTCCTTATGAAATGTTCATATTTCAATCAGTGAGTAAGACTCCATACATAGACAATGTAAATTTGCCTGTTTACACTGAATGCTGTAGTTTAAGGCAATTTTAAATAAGCTTCTATTTCCTTTTGGGTGGGTGCAGCTAATACTTTCCTATAATTTACTGTCTTTGGTAAAAATATAGGTTAACTTACTGAATCCCAAAATTTAATTTTTAAAAAATAAAAACCCTTCAAAATTTGGTTTTCTGACTTGATAGAATTATGCTGTGCATTTTTCTAGGAAACACTAAATTGTTGGTTATGATTGAAGATTACCAAATATAACTAGCATAATGCAGTAAAGAAACAAAAGCAGAAAAACCAGCAAACAGAAGCAATAATAAAGCAAGATGGTAACAATAAAAAGCTGTCCAATTATATGAGAGAAGAATCAATATATAGGCTTTTCTGAATCTCACACAGACCTGCCAGTTTTGTGTAAGATACATTGTACAATTGAAATAGCAAGAAATTTGCTTTCATTTTGGGAGAAAAACAGTAATTAAATTCTTAAAGCAATGGGGAAATATCTAGTTTTAGTATTTTTACTATTTATTTTACTCAAGTCTAAGTGAATTGAATCTTTCCATTGATCTAAGTGGGCATTGGATCAGACCCTACTAGGAAGCTGGCTCTGTGTTTCAGGTAACATATTAATGAGTCATATTTAAAATTATGTTTTACACTTGGTCACGTTATAGTTAAAAAATGACAGATTGGGATTCACCCACAAAGTTTTTGTTCCTTTTTTGGATTTTTTTCTATCCATCTGCTCTTTTTTTTCTTCTCCCTTCTGCTGCATTTTCAGAAAACTAAATCTTAATTTCTGATTTTTTTAAGTAAAAATAAAACAGAGATAATCATTCTAATCAGTGAGGATACCATGTATGAACAGCTCTCAGCTTTGTTCTATTTGCTGTTTTTGAAAAGATGTGATCTTGAAAAATAAGAAGGAAGAAAAAGATAACTTACAGAAGAGCAGCAACAGAATAGTCAGTTATGTTTGTCTTACAGATCAGAAGGGATTAGTGATTAATGATTTGGGTTTCTCCAGTAATCAGAGGCTAACTTGAGTCACTTGCAAGGGACCAAATTTAAGAAGAGTGCTCAGCATTTCCTTAAATTCAAGGCATGCTAGACTCATCCTTTCTCTCATTAAACATGAGATCTATGCACACACAGTGTTTTTTGCTGTTTTAAGCCCTGGACTACTACACCCCCACAAAAAAAAAAAAAAAAAAAAAGAAAATTAAAAATAATAAGTAGCTCCTATGCCTAAACAAAGATGACGTTTCATTCACAGTATTTGGTTGTTTTTTTATATGTTAAAAAGGTGTGTGTTCCCGTAAACTGCCACACCTAAAGTGAGCAATGAGTCTTTAAAATTTTTTATTTATTTAATATTCTAGAGATGACAAAATCTACAAGGCAAAATCTACCAGAACAGTTTAAAGCTCCTATTTATCTGAACACCTGTTTCTATCTTTATCTGTATAATCTCCATGACAATGTCCCTCATAGTGTTTAGCTGCTTGCTTTGGAAGAGAAGTGTTAAATGGGGAGCACGCAAACTGAATCCAAACTTATTTTAATAAAATCTACAGAGAAATAACATCACGTGTTAAGTGGTAGAGTAGGAGTGATACAATTCCATCACTGCCATCCATCTATTTTGAACATGCAGTGGATATTTTCATACACGGTCATCGTTAAGCTTCTGATGGACCTGAGGAAGAAGGATCTTTTAAGGGCCATATAGCACCAACAGTAAGAGGCCCCATATGGCATTTATGCAGTGCTTCAGAGTTTATTTATTAAAGCCTTGATATTTGTGGGCTATCCTAATGTGCAATACTGGAAGTAGGCTGAAATTTGGAAAGTCAAACATCTCAAAAGACTGAGATTTCTCAAGGTCATGAAATGATAACTTCAAGAGTAGTAAAGTCCAGAGGTACCCGTGGCACAGGCCAAGATTTTGAACACTAGGAATTCAGAAGGAATGACCTTTAGATTTACTATTAAGCTAAAGTGACAGGGGGAGATGGATGATTAAAAAGGAGAAGTTGCCAGAGGTAACAGTAAATTTGTGACACTCGAGAGGAGCCTAGAGAGAAGGCTATACAATCTGTTTGGACTGTGGTTAGAGTTAAGAGGTAGTCGTGCTATGGGAGAGAATGAGTTCTTCCTGCAACAGAAAAAGCAGAAGCAAAAGTAAGAGAATAAGACTTTGACCAGAAGGAAGGGAAGTTTCCAAAGGAGAACAGAATAGGGCTAGTTACTAAGGAAAGGAAGAAAAACAGAGTTCTGAGTTACAATTCTAGATGGTGAGAGTGTAAAGAAGAAAGGCGTGTTGAAAGCAAAGGTCCTTGCAGGGAAGGAGAGCAAAGAAAGTAAACCACAGGAGGGACAGTGTGCCATTTCCTCGGTGTTTTCAAGTGAAATAGTGAAATTCTGTAGTACGTAGGGGAAGACAAGACAGGGTGAATTCTGCAAGGAACTAGAAGAGGAACTGTTGAAGAAGGGATTGGAAATGCTCTTAAAATTTTTTTAAAACTAAAAGCAATGGAAGAATAGGAAGAAGGAAGAGTTGGAGTGAGAGGATGGTGTAGAGCAAATTGTGAGCTAAGCATGGAGTAGCAGGAGAGAGGTCTCAGCAGACAAAAGAAAGAGGTTGGGGGCAAGAAGGTAAATAGATGGAGGGCTACAAACAACTCCTAAAACTACCCCCGACCCTGCAGACTGTCTTTAGTGTAGACACAACCATGTCTACTTGGGGAAATAACTAAGGGTTTTTTTGAGAGAATACAAGAGCCTTATTAAGCTAACAATTAACTGGCAATGTTACAATAGGCAGAAGTTTGGTAAGCATTAATAGATCTTCAAATGGAAGGTTTGCGATGATTAGCATTAAAATACTGTAGTAGAAAATACCGTTAAATTATAAATCAATATCTTGATGAATGTTATTCTAAGAACAGTATTTTCTAATTCATTCATACAATGTTTGCAGTGTACCCAGGCAAGCTGCTTGACCCTGTGTATGCTTTGCCTATCACAGAGAGGATAGATTAAATGAATAGACTTCCGTAGTTGTAGGAGAAGGTTCTGTCATCTAACTTTTGTTTTAGAACATCAACAGGTGATAAGGACATGTAGTTGTGATACAGAGGAATAGAGCATGTTAGGCACATGAATCGTCCTCCTCCTAAGGCAGTTTCATTACTCATGAGTCACCAGCTGTCCTGTTGCCTTTCATAGCAAAGCAACCTTTCCCTTGAAACAAAAATTAAATGTATGTTGAATGGCAAAGAGAAAACTTGGTACAGAAGTGTAATTTCAGGAAAGCAGTGGAGAAATTGTCCTGGTGAACAGAGAACAAAAATCAAGCAGAAAAAAGTAAAGATATGGTAGCTTGTAATGGGTTACTGTGTCTTTTGCTCCTAACAAACACATACAGTGTTAAATCCAGGCTGACAGTGACGTAAAGGTGTTATCATAGTATGCCTGATATTCAACAAGTTTGTTTCAAGTCTCTTTTTGACAAGTAGTTGCCAACATTATAAAAAAAAAAAACAAAACCAAACCAATGAACATGCCTGCTATTCAGGTATGGTTAATTGGCACAACTACATACAACTGAACAGTGTCTGGAATCAAACTCGTGAACCCCATTACTCAGAGCTCTTAGATGTTCAGATTTATGCAGTTGAAAAGCCTTGCATAATGGATTTCCATTGCAGTAGCTCTGTGCTATATATATCCTACACATGAAGTATTTTTGGCCAGAGGTTAAAAAGAGCTATTTTCACTTTAAAATATGTATGCTTTTCCCTCCTTGTATGCTTTGGGGGGAAAAAAGAAAACAAAAACAAGAAAAGTTTTACCAAACTTGTCAAGTATTTTCCTTGTGTGATTTTCTTGCAAAATTTAGCTTAAAGTGCACTATTTCTTAATGCATCATTCATATTAGATTTATTAACTTTCTAACCTTAGGCAATAGATTTGCAAAAGGAAAGTTTATTTGCAGTAAAAAGTCGAGTGTGTGGTATTTGTAGGGCCACTAGCATGGAGAGGGAGATTTTTCTGATCTTTCTTGTCCCCATAGCAAAACTTCATAGTATTTTCTGGTTGGTTTTTTTTTTTTGTTGGTTTTTTTTAACGTTTTTAATGGCAAAGAATACAGATTGCAAATTCATTTTTTATTACAACACTATTACTAGAATGGTGAATTTGTCACTGTTTTTTATGGGTGCAGGACTGAGATGAGAATTTCCTTTTTGAATTTGCAAGACTGATTGTGAATAGGGGATTTAAAGAAAAAGTAGTAGTATTTGATTGTAAAGCATGCATACTACCCACCACTGAGGCTCAGTCACTTGCTATCAGTCTTCCCTTAAAAATCACTCCCTCAAAGGAATGGAAAAAATGAGGGTATTTTGCACAGAAAAGTTTGAAAAATAATGTCATTTCATATCTTCATGGCTGTAATATTAAGTTGCTGCCATGGGCCTGTGTAGGTTTCACAAAGATATTTTTACATAACTGAGCCCAGCTGATTGGAAAAAGGAACATGAAGCTGGCTCACAATCACATTTTAAAATATATTTGTATTTATATACATAAAAATATAGATACACATATATACTATTTAAATTGTAAGGAACAAATTTTAAATACGGGATGAAATTCTTAGCATTTTTGCTTTTGAACAATTAAGTAAAGAAAAATTTTGCTTTTACATAGAAAATATTTTCTTGTGGTTGAAAGTGCAAATTTTTACTTTGTGCAACCTGAAAAATTTGGTTTGGCCTGTTTTCTGATGCTGTCTTGGATTTGTTTCCATCGAAACAAGCAGCACTTACTGGAAAGATACGGTAGAAAGGGTTTGAGCACACATACAGTTCTAAGCTACAAGGTTATTTATGCATCATTTATGCTTTATTTTGTAACTTGTGATTAAGCTGAACTCAGTTCATGCTATTTCTGTCTTCATTAATACAGAGAATTTTATGGTGACACTGATAACACCTGATCTCTATAAATCCATTAGTTATGGTAACATCCAATTACATGATCAAGCAAACCTAGGTATGTCTGGAAAAACTTCACTATATAGATTAACTCAGATTCACTGATTTAGAAGGTAACTTCTAAATAAATATGCTCATAGAAATAAAAGAACAATGCCCAGGTACAGATGTCGTAGCATACACTCTAAGTATTAAGATGACCAAACACGTCTTTGTTACATGACAGTTCAAATTTGAACCAGACAATTATACTGCAGAAATTGTTCTAGAGGAGTACTGTGAGAATTTAGCTTGGAACAATAAAGAGATAACAGGTAATACTGCATCCTACAAGACAGTTATCAGAACGTGTGGAATCTGTGTTCTATTCATGTACATTCACAATGTTAGATATTATAAAGAATCTACAAGACAGTATTACACTAACACAGTTCTGCAAAGAATATTCATTGGTTTATTCGTAATAAACACATAAAATCCCCTATCAGAAAAAGGCCTTATACCTGTCAGTTTTAATTATTCTACACTTGTTAAAATTAATCTTTAAGAAAATGCAGGGCCATATTGCAAATGTTAATTTTATCAGCATAGTGCATGGCAAACGGCTTCAATAAGGGTGTAGCTTTTAGAGACTATGTTCTAAAGTATCCAGAAAAATGTTGAGGGCCTGATGTCCACAGCTGTCTCATGTCATGCTCACACTGCAAGAATGGGCTACTAAATTAGGAGGCTGCAAAAGAAATAGCATCTTTTCTGTCTTTCCAATAAGTGGAATTGAGTACCCTGCCTGCCCCAACTACTACCATTTATTTTGACGTACTGTCATTCAGCAAGGTGAGGAAACAAAAAACTCAGAACTTTATATGTTCAGTGTTCATCATGACCTATGCACCTGATGACCGATTTCCTACCAGAAACAAATAGAAGGCTTCCCCAAGTAAAGAGCCAGTAACGGAAAAGTACTGGTCTTACCGCCATTTTCTTCAGCACAAGATGATGAGGAATCATTCAACAAGCAGTGTAGATCTGTCATATTGATTCTGATTGAACAAGCAGGCCTGGAAAGTCAAATAACCAGTTCTCTGTGAAGGTCTAAATAAATCAGAGTTCTGAGTATTTGAGAACTTGCAAAACTTCAAAAAGAAGAGAGCTACTACCCAAGACAGTCATGATTAAAATGCACTAATCTTGTATTAAAAGGTATAAGAAAAAAATGCCTAATTTACGTTTACTGTAGTAAAATAAACTCTGACAATAGTTCACTTTAGCACTTCAGATGCTTAATTTTTAAGCACTTATCTACACCCTACATAATAAACCTTCCAGTTTGAAATCTAACAGGATTTCACATATACTGGATTAGCAAATCCCAATAAAACACATATTGTGTCTATATTACAAGGCTTTTTTTGTAGGAGAAAGATGAAATGTCCCTTCCCATAGAGATGGGTTTAAGTGAATTGATGTGGTTTTCTTCAGATTGGCTCCATTTTCATAGTTAACACTGTACAAATACTTGATTCCAATGCCAAGAAGTAGTAAGCATAAACATTTACAGCCCTTAGCATGCAAGTGAGAAATCCAACTTATACTTTAATTTTTTAAGGGATTATTTCTGCCAAATCTGCTTTTTTCTAACACAAAGACAATTTAAAGATTTGAGGGTACAAGGTAATATTGTGACTATATGTGGTGGTTTGACCCTAGCTGGACACCAGGGGCCCACCAAAGCCGCTCTATCACTCCCCTCTAACTGGACAGAGGAGAGAGAAATAAATCAAAAGTCTCGTGGGTCGAGATAAGGACAGGGAGAGATCGTTTTATCAGTTACCATCATGGGCAAAACAGACTCAACTTGAAAAAAGTTAATTTATTATCAATCAAAATCAGAGAAGGAGAGAAGAAAAACTGCTAGATCTTAAAAACCTTCCCCCCACCCCTCCCTTCTTTCTGGGCTCATCTTCACTCCCAGTTTCTCTACCTAATCCCACCAGCGGCACAGGGGGATGGGAATGGGGGTTGAGGTCAGTTCATCACATGTTGTCTCTGCCGCTTCTTCTTCCTAGCTTTTTCTTCCTAGGGAGAGAACTCTTTC